AGTTGGGCTCTGAGGGTTTTTCCCTGGAGCTGTTTTGTTTGGCGTTTGTAGTTCTAAAAATAAAGTTAGTTTCTTTTTGACAAGTGGCTCCTGATTTGTGCCAAGCCAGACTTCGGAGGTGGGGCTGCAGGATGGGGGCTTCTGCAGCTTTGGCTCTGCCTGAGGATGGCCTTCCTCTGCATGGAGACACCCTCATTTCTTTCTTGTGACTAAATAGACTGACGAGGTTAGTGCCCCCACATAATCTTAACAACCTTTCCAATGTATACAGAAGGTCCTCCCTGTGGGTTCTGCATCTGTGTATTCAACCAATTTCAGATAAAAAAAACATTTGAAAAAAATTAACTCTGTACTGAACAAGTAGAGTTTTTTTTACATTGTCATTATTCCCTGAACAAAGCAGTATAACTATTACAACTATTTACACAGCATTTAAATTGTATTAGTAATTTAGAAATAATTAAAGTGTATGGGAAGATATGCATGGGTTATATGCAAATACTATAGCATTTTACATAAGAAACTTGAGCATCTACAGATTTTGGTACCTCTGGGGTTTCCTGGAACCTGTGCCCTACAGACGCCAAGGGAAGACTACACTAAAAATTTAAAAAGACAGGAAAGAGGAAACAGAAACAAATATTAGATGAAACAAACAGAAAACAGGTAGTAAAATGGTAGTGCTAAGTCATCATACTAATGATTTAATGTAAATAGAGTACTTAAGGCAGAGAATCTTGGACTTGACAAAAGAAAAGACTCAACAATATGCTCTCCATAAAGACAATTTAAATATAAAGACACAAAACCAACTAAGTAAATATAGACACTGACTGAGGGCTGGGGATGTGGCTCAAACGGTAGCGCGCTTGCCTGGCATGCGTGCGGCCTGGGTTCAATCCTCAGCACCACATACAAACAAAGATGTTGTGTCCGCCGAAAACTAAAAAAATAAATATTAAAATTCTCTCTCTCATTCTCTCTCTTTCTCTCTTTCTCTTTAAAAAAAAATATAGATACTGACTGAAAGCAAAAGGATGAAAGATACACTATGCAAAAATAATAACAAAAAAGCTCAAGTAGAGCTACCAGAGGAAATAAACTTCAATATAAAACAGAGCACAGACAAGAGACCACTCATGGTAATAACAGTTATGAATGTGTGTGCACCTAAAAACAAAGTCTCATGGGACATGAAAAAAAAGCCACAAAACTAGAGAGGGAAATCAAACCCTCCACCATTATGGCTGGGAATCAATACTCATCTTGTAGTAACTGATGGGACAACCAGACAAAAGACATGAATGGCACCACTCTAACCTGACACCCAGAGAGAAGAGGACTCAAGGTGGAAATCATGAGCATGCTCCATGTCCACATGGAACTAAATTAGAAATCAACAACAATAACAAAAACAGAACTTTACCTAAATACTAAGTGACGTAAAAGAAGAAAGCACGGGGAAATTAAAGTGCACCTGGAACAAAATATACTTATTGTAAGACTGGCACTCATGGCAGGTCAAAGGCAGCCACAAACTCTTTCCCCTCCTTGGGGTGGGAACAAAGCCCCTGCAGGTAGAATCTGTGCCTGCACAGCCAGCTTAGTCAGAATGTGGCACAGCTCAAACAATAGTAAAAGTTAGAGATGAAAGACTGTCCTCAACTTGAGAGGTAGAGTTGTTAAAGTTCAGACTCAATATTAGTCTCTGAATAAACGGATGACAATCATCTCACACATTATGTTATACTAACAAACTATAACTGTGAATTTTAAATGTTAAGAAAAAACATAGGGAAGTAACCTCATGACACTGGGTTTAACAATTCTTTCTTGGATACTATACCAAAAGCACAAGTAACAAAAACCAGTAAGTTGAATTATATAAAATTGAAATCTTTTGTGCATCAAAGGTCACTATCAACAGAATGAAAAGATAATCAATGGAACGGGATTCATATATAAGACAGTAACATGCAGAACATGTAAAACAAAATCCTACAACTCAAAAAAACCCCCAAAACCTTGTGGTTTAGTCAGCTTTTTCACTATTGTAACTAAAAGATCCAACCAGAACAACTTTAGAGGAAGAAGAGTTAATTTAGGGCACAGTTTCAGAGGTCTGAATTCAGAAGATTCCATTCCTCCGGGCTCAAGGTGAGGCTGAACAAAGTGGCAGAGGAATGTGGCAGAGGGAAGCAGTTCACATGATGATAAGTAAGCAGAGAAAGAGATTCCACTTGCCAGATAAAAAATATATACCCCAAAGCCATGTCCCCAATGTCCACCTCCACCAGCCACATCTACCAGCTTCAGGTATCACTCAGTTAATCCCTAACAGGAGACTAATTCACTGATTGGGTTAAGACTCTCACAACCCAATAATTTCTTCTCTAAACCTTCTTGCTTTGGCTCACAAGTGAGATTTTGGGGGACACCTCACATCTAAACCAATAAATAGTTATTGCTACAAATAATACATACAAATGGTTGATACTGAAGTCATCAGAAAAATACAAATCAAAAATACAAATCAAAATCACAATGAAATATCCCTCCATACCCATTAGGTACAAATGATTCAAATCTGTGCATCTCATTCTCTATATATCTTTTAACCAACCCTTGTTCAAATGTGCCCCACTAACCCCTGAACACTGGATAATAAATAAGTATAGTTCCCGAGGGATCAAACCTGTCATTTGAGCACTCATGTCCTTCAGATTTTGCAAAGAGTAACATTTCCACTGTACCAAGATTACAACATTTGTTTGTGAGCAACAAAAGCTCCTCCCCCTATATTGGTCCTATACACATATATTAGCCTAACATGAAAAGAAAAAAACAGAGCAGCACATCTTGACATCAAGACCAGAACTGAGAGGGAAGGAGGAAGCGGTCCTGGAGAAATTCTATTTTGTTGCTTGGGTCACTGGCTGGAAGGTGGCAATTGCTAGCATAAGGGATGAGAGGATATGCATGAGAGGATTAGATTCATGAAGTCTGAGGTGCCTTTGGAATAGCAGCAAAGAAGCATTCAACAGGAAGATGAATCTATAGTCTAACAGTGGAAAAAGGTCCAAGCTGGAAATAGGAATGTCAAATCGAGGGCCATATCAGTCAAAAAACTCAAGAGTAAGAGGAATGGGGCCTCAGATGGAACACTTGAAGAAAAAAAAAAAGGCAAAAAAAAAATCCTGGGAAGAAAAAAATCACAAGAGGCCACAGAAGAAAATAAAAGGTGGGATTTCTAAAAGATCATGGACAGAGGTCTTAAATATGGCAAAAGATTGAATAGTCAATGGGTCTGATTATAATTTATTTAGGTTACCGGTAAGTTTGACAAAATGAACTAAGACTTCATTGACTGGGCTAAAGTACAAATGAGTGGGAATACACACCAGAAAATCCAACTTTGCAGTTAGCTGCTTACTTTACAGCCACATAAGCTGAGAGAGATGTGTAGACAGTTTTTTCATTACATATGGTCAATTCAATCCTCCAGGCCACCCAAAAGCTATCTGGGATCAACTATTTTAGCAACTCCAATAAAACCTCATTAAAGTAGCTAAATGTAACCAATGAAGACAGCGTTTCCACCTTGGGTTCAGAAAGTCTTCATATCCCAGAAGTTAGCATGCTCGCCTTGTGGGTTTGTTGAATTATGTAAAAATTATGCCTCCCTTTTTTTGCCACAACATCAGAAAGACCAGAGATATATGCACTCAACTTAGATGATTCTGAAGTCTTATAATCTGCTAAAACTACAGCCAACTTTATCTTATTTGAATGCATTTCCTAGAGCCTGAATCTTACTTTTCCACTTAATGCTCAGACCCCATAAAGGTCATTAAATAAAATGTAAAACAGAATGGAGAAACAACTCACCAGAGATGTATCCATTTTTGTTTGCTCTTGGAAATGCACAGAGGGCTCTGGAAGCATAGCTAGGAGTGGAGTCATGGAGAATTGGTACAGCTCAGATTCTCCTGCTCAACACACTATAGAGAAGCTGAAACAGAAATTTTAAAAACCCTCTATATGGAAGAGAACCCTCTATGTTTCAGTATGGACGCCAAAGTTCCCACTGAAGACATACCCACAATCCCACTAACTGGTAAAGATTAGAAATACAATTAATTTATTTTGAGTTACTTAAAAGAACTATTACCTACAGATTTAGCAACAAATTAACATTTCCCAAAGAAATAAAAACTTAACAAAAACTGTTACAGATATATACTTCACAAGTGAACTATTTTACTACTGATGCAGGATACCCCAGAGGACTCTATGTGAGCTTTTCCACCACACCCCTTGCTTTTGCATACTTAAGTTTCATGAAAAGTATGCATGTGCCGCCCATGATGGCACATGCCTGTGATCCCAGCAGCTTGGGAGGCTGAGGCAGGGGGATTGCAAATTTAAAACCAGCCTCAGCAAAAAGCAAGGCACTGGGGCTGGGGTTGTAGCTCAAGTGGTAGAGCAAGCACCACATAAAAATAAAATAAAGATATTGTATCCACCTAAAACTAAAAAATAAATATTTTTTAAAAGTAAGGCACTAAGGAACTGAGATCCTGTCTCAGTTGGGGATGTGGCTCAATGGTCGAGTGTCCCTGAGTTCAATCCCTGGTACCAAAAAAAAAAAAAAAAAAAAGTATGCATGTTGCAACCCATCATTTTGGACCCATAGTTATATAGGAAAAATATACATAATATACACTTCTTATAGTACACTGTTCCAGTAGTCGTTCCCAACAAGCCATCTCTCTGTATACAAGCACTCATATAGTACCACAAACCTGGACTCTGCTATTTATGTTACTGCCTTGGCCAATGAGACAACAGGAAATGTCACACACATTTGAAAAGCACTTGCCCACTGGTGCTGGTCTCTTTGGACAAAGTCATGCTGTGAAGAAACCTGGGGCTACATTGCTCTAGCCAAGAGCTAGCGCAAATTACTAGCCATGCAAGTGTTAAGGCAAGCAGCCTCAGTTGAGGCACCTGATGTCCAAAGCCTCAAGTGTGATCCAGACAACACTAGCAAAAAATTTCCAACTGAATTTCTTGCAAAATGTGGAGCCACAGAACCTCAAATAAATGAGTGCATATTTTTCTCAGTATGTGTCAGTTGATTAGGGTTAGCAAATGCTTATATACTAATCATCCAGAATGCAATTTTTAAAAAGTATTTTTTAACCGTGGATGAACACAATTTACCTATTTTTATGTGGTGCTGAGGATCAAACCTAGTGCCCCACACATGCTAGGCAAGCACTCTGCCACTGAGCCACAACCACCCAGCCCAAGAACTCAATGTTTTTGTTTGGGGTTTTTTTTTGGGGAGGGTGGTACTTTGGACTGAATTCAGGGGCACTCGACCACTGAGCCACATCCCCAGCCCTATTTTGTATTTTATTTATAGACAGGGTCTCACTGAGTTGCTTAGCAACTCGTTTTTGCTGAGGCTGGTTTTGAACTCATGCTTTCTGACTCAGCCTCCTGAGCTACTGGGATTACAGGCATGTGCCACCAAGCTGGACAAGAACTCAGTGTATTTTAAGGGACAGTCTTAAAATACAATCAAGTTAGCTGCATGGCCACATGTACAAGTACTGAAAATCACAAGCAATGTCAACTGCATGGACTTCAGTAAGAATACTGGTGTAAGTGGAGGCCATCTAAATCATTAAAAAGAAAACATTTCCAGATCAATAGACTGTTTTAAGTTTTGCTGCATCATAAAAGGTATGTTTACTTAAAAAAAATAGTTTGTTACATGTTGAGTATCCCTTATTCCAAATGCTTGAGACCAGAATTATTTCAAATTTCAGAGTTTTCTGGATTTTGGAATATCTGCATAGATTTTTTTTTAAGTTATAGGTGGACAAAATACCTTTGTTTTATTTATATGTGGTGCTGAGGATCGAACCCAGGGCCTCACAAGTGCTAGGTGAGCGCTCTACTGCTGAGCCACAACCCCAGCTCTCTGCATAGATTTTAATGGTTATATACCTAGTCCAAAATAGTTTCAAATTTCATATTTTTGGATTAAGGATGCCTAATCTATACTTAAAAGAACACACTGTGCCATATTTTATTTACATTTATGAAATTAGTTTGGAGAAGTGTGATCCAGCATAATTTTCCCATTTTAATAACAGGCTCATTTTATTACCAAATTTATGATTTTTAAAAATAGACAAATTACATTAGGTAAGAAACACTTGTGTTATCAACATTTTAAGGTGACAATACATAAGAAGTACTAGGGATAAAAAAAGAGACGTGTTTAAGAAAATGTGTTTTAAAGTACAGTTTATGCTACATGGATAGTTTCCAAACAAACAAAAAAACAATCTCCAACATTGAAAATAATACTAGTTGTTTTGATTAAATTTGTAGCAAAATTAAAAATATTAGCTAAAAAGTCAGGATGCCTAACATTTACGTGATTCTCATGTGATCCTGTGTGAGGCACATCATCTTAGAACCAATTACTTCATCTTTCATATAAGACAGAAGGACCTGGCAAGCCCTTCCTGAGCTACCAGCGAGAACTATCAGGACAGAGGGAGCACCTGCACATCTCTAGACAAGCCAAATTTGATGACAGACTGGCTTTGAAAGAGCTCAGATTCTGGAAACAATGGGGGCATGGATTGGAGGAACTAGAATGTGGTTAGAGAGCACTGTAGCCAGATCCTCTCTGGTGCAACAGGGTATCCCTCTACTCCAGACCACAATCCTATGCCTCCTCCAATAAGTAACATTTGCTAGGCTATGACTTATCCTTCAGCCCAGTTCATATCTCTCTCCTGAAAGTTGGTCCATACCTTCCCAACAGCACCTTGTGGGTGAGAGCTTCAGATGAGGTAGCACTACTCAAACCTTGCGCACTCTGGGCAGGAGGACCAACTGCTTAGATCATGCAAGGCTAGTATCCTCCCCTTCCCGGGACTCCTCTTATCTTAAGTGCTAGTGAGAGAATTCAGACCTGAGGGGTGCTCTTTCAGGAGGGATTCCGATCCACAGGGCGCCCTCCTTCAAGCTTTACCACACCTACTTAATTCTTAAAAACATAGGGCCACCCCAATCTCCTGCGTATGATCTTCTGTAGACTCAAATCAAGAGCCCTAGGCGGGCTACACGGTGGCGGGGGCGGGGGATACAACTGCCACATCGCAGGATTGTCCACGTACACTTCACCACCCTCTGGGAACTGGGGGGTAGTTCACCAGGGTCGCTGCCAGCCTCATCTCACAGACCAGTAAACTGAAGGTCGCTCCGTGGCACAGCGGTCTGCACAGCCCCATCAAGCCCGCTCGCTGGGCCAGCTTCCTATACTGAAGGCATACAGGGCCTCCGGCCGCTTGGACTCCGACCAGGCTGTCACGACAGCCCACCCAAGCGCCGCGGCCCCGCGCCCGCCCCGAGGAACTCACGGAGCGTCGCCTCGGGGAGCCCTACCGCGGCTCGCACCTGCACTTCGGTGCCCCGCCTGCGACTCATTCACGGTTCGGATCCCAGAGCCCGCCGAGGCCAGGGTGCCTCTGCCCGCAACGCACCAACCTTCTGGCTGGCCGCATCGGAGGGCCACAGGGACCGGAACTTCCGGGCGGGAAACTCCGGGAGTGGGCGGAGCACCGCACGCGCAGGAGGAAACTGGAACGCGCTCCCAGGTCTCGCGTGGGCGGCCTCTCGCGTTGGGAGACACTTCCCACAAGCCTCTGCGCCGTGCGCTGGCGCTGCGGGAAGAAACTGTTCGCCGACTGCCGCGGTACCCGAGGTGGCCGGTGTCCACACCCAGAGGCGGAGGTCTGTGGCTGCGAAGGGCGTGGTCGTTGTCTGGTGCGCCCTGAAACATCGCAGTTACGAATGATAACGGCCCCTCTGGACACCTCTTCAAGGCATGTGTTTTCTGCCACTAGCCTGGCTTTGTCCGCGGACTGTGTTCCACGGGCGCACATCCTGCTCTAGCAGGTCACGGAGTCGATGCTCCGGAGCCTCTTGCAGATTGCATTTCCGAAGTCTGCTAATTGTTTGCCCAGGAATTGCCAATTTCGGGCCAGCCATTTATCAGATCTCTAGTTTGTGAAATGGACTTGAACTTTCTTTCGCTTCTGGATTTCTGACACGCACTGGAGTTTCTGGATCTGGGCCACCACCATGGCTCTTCAAGCAGGACATGCTGCTTGAGGGTCACAGTTGGTGTGTACTTGAGAGGAGGAGAAGGGAGTTAGGGGTGGGGTCGATGGCGCTGTGAGGCTGGCGCCCTTACCCAAGACTCACCATTGTCTTCCTCTGTTTGAATTATCTAGTCCTATCCTACAACCCCCAGTGATTGTAGTCTACAGATCCAGAAGCTAAGCCTTGATCTTCCCAGAGCCCGCATCCCTCAAACATTGGAATCCCTGTCTCCCTCAGAGCCCTTGGAACCCAGGCTTCTCTCTTGAACACCGTCGGTACACACGACGTTGGTGCCTGATATAAAGTCCTGTTATATGTGGGTTGATAGTCCCTCTCTTTATGTACCTCAGTCTTTTCTCCCAGAATGGGAAGAGTAAGGCACCTTTCCTTAGCTCCCACCTTAAACCCACGTCTAATGTAATCCATTTCTTTCCCCTATAATGGCACATTACTCAGAGCCAAGGAGAGAATCCAGGACCAGTCCACCACATTTCCAACACTAACTGTGTTGTATTGTTTCAGTGTTCAAGTTCACATTTTTTTTGTTGAATTTATTCCTAATTATTTTTTATATTACTATAATATAAATAGAATTGATCCCTTAATTTCATTTTTTGATTGTTCATTGCCCATGATAGAAGTACAACTAATTTTTTATATGGATCTTGTATCTTATTACTTCACTGAACCTGTTTATTCTAATAATTTTTAGTGAGCTCTGAATGATTTTTTTGGGGGGAGGGTACCAGAGATTGAACCCAGAGGTGCTTCACCACTGAGCCACATCCCTATCCCGTTTTATTTTTTATTATTTTGAGACAGGGTCTTGGTAAGTTGCTTAAGGCTTTGCTTAGTTACTGAGGCTGGCTTTGAACTTCTGATCCTCCTGCCTTAGCCCCTAGAGCTGCTGGGGATTACAGGCAAGCATCGCTGCCCATATTATTGATACCAGTGATGAGAATCGGCTGAGTCCTGTTTCTCTGAAGCAGGCCAGAGACACCCCCTCCCAGAAGATCCCTGCCACAACTAAGCTAAACAGAATTTTTGAGGGTCTCTGGAGCCTTCACAGAGGTGTTTGCATCTCAAAGGACTATAGTCAGGTCCTGCAGAGCTAGCTGGTAGGAAGACTGGGGAGAGGGACTCTCCCTTTCCCAGACACAGATTTTTAATAGTGTCCTTGGCCTGAAATGGGTCCCCGGAACAGTGAAAAAGCTGCTTTTATGTGAACTTCTACAGATTGTGAGCCTCTGAGCCCCTTCCCTTACACATTGGGTATATAAAGTTCTAAAACTTTCTAAACTCGGGATTTCAGAGGGGTGATTTGGTAGAGGCAAAAAGCCTCCCTTTGGGGCTAGGGCTATAGCTCAGTTGGTAGAGTGCTTGGCTTGCATGCACTTAGACCTGGATTTGATTCCTCAGCGTGCATGCACACACACACACACACACACACACAAACATACACTATGAAAAAAAAAAAAAAAAACCTTTGAATCTGACTGCAGCCAATAAACCTGCTACCTGCTATTTCTTGGTGTCCTTCCTTGTTTGTCCTACTTCATCCCCAGTTTTGAAGAGTGAACACAGGAGAAATACCAAGGCAACCATAGAAAAAAAGTTTTATTTAAAGGATAGAATAGAGATAGTGTAACAGGAGTCCACTTAATGCTTTGAATACAACTCTTGCTGCTCTTGACACTGCAACTTATTTTTAAAATGGTCTTGTTTTTTCCTCTTCCTCTCTCCTTGCTTCTCCCTAATCTTTCTCCCACACTAATCTCAGGGAAAATATGTTTACCTTTCTTCCCCATCCTAGGCAGAGTTATTGGTCCCTGAGTACACACCCACCATAGGAAAGAAGTAATCCAAACTTTGGGGATGGTACCAGAAGATCTCAAAAACTCCTCAAAATTAACAAGTGAATTACAGCTCCAACAGAGAACACATGGAATATAGCCTTTGAGTCACCTCTTAAAAAGTTCCCTGTTCCTGCTGATGGGCAGAATCACAGCCTCTGGGACAGGACTCCTTGGTGTTTCTCCTTTGCTAGCAAAGCAATAAACCTTTTTCCTTTTTCTCAAAACTGTGTCTTTGTTATTGGATTGGCATCAAGGAGAAGGACTGAGCTTTCAGCAAAACTTCCAGGTGTTTAAGACCAAGTTGGTCAAACTGACTCGTTGTTTCTATCTACTAACAGTCAGCTGAGATTCCTCAGAGATCATCACCCTTGTGGACATGTGCAAAGCATCCTGGCTCCTTTAGCTTTTCTTTACCAGTGGTACCGCTTGCCAGGATGGGTTGGGGTCCTATATGGACATTTAAAAGGAAAAACTTTTTTTTAATGTAATGTAAAAAAAAATGTACACTTGTGTCAGGCCTACCAAAAGTAAGTAAAGCTGAGGGCTACAAAGGAAGGGTTCTTGAGTGAGAGTGCCTAATAATAATGATCATAAGAGTCACAAATTTGTCCTGAGTTAATTTGAGCCTAATTTCATAGACTTACAAATTTCCTAATCTCCCACATTGATGAACTTGGTCTGTTTTTTATTGATAAGATTATGAGTTCCTGTCCTTATGGTTTTCAGAGACTGGCTGAAATACTGTGGGTTTTTTTTTTTGTGTGTGTGTGTGTGTGTGCTAATTATTTGCAAAAAATAAAAAAAAGTAATGCTTTGCTGTCTTTATTGTTGTCTTAGGATGATCCCTGCCCTATGAATGCCTTGTCCAGTCACCTGCCATCTTCCACTGTGTACCTCAGGACTGCTCTGATGCTAAATGCCCTTAACTGTCCACATCCCACCTGATAGAGAACAAGAACTTTGGGTTACTTCCCCCAACTTTGCTCCTTTTCAGCAGGAAGCAGTTTGGAGAAGTTATCGCCCATTTTTCCATATAAGTGGACTGTAGAAAGCTGGGCATGGTGTTACATGCCTATGTAATCCTAACAGCTCAGGAGGTTGAGACAACAGGATCGTGAGTTCAAAGCCAGCCTCAGCAACTTGGTGACCCCTTGTCTCTAATAAAACATAAAAAAGGACTGGGGATGTGGCCTGGTGATTAAGTGCCCCTGGGTTCAATCCCTGGTATGAAAAAAGAAATTTAATATAGAAATTGACAGTGGCAACACTTCTCTGAGGAGAAGGGGCCCCAGAACTGGGTGTCTGAGGAAGTGGGGGTGTCCTTCTCCTTTTATCCATTTTAGATTTCCTTTGTTCTCATGCTATCCTCCATCCTGCCTAGATGGCCCAAAAAGTGGAGTGGAAATGATCCACGGGTGGGGAAAGAGCCTTACAGGGGTACAGGCAGGAAGGAAGTAGCCCAGGGGGCATTAATTAACAACTCTTTGTAGGGAGGAACAATTCTCTGGAAACAGGTAACCCTGGCAATAGGTAACCCTGGCAACAGGTAACCCTGGCAACAGGTGGGGGAAAAGGAAGTAATTTAGAGGTATTAATATTTCATTTCCTTTTGGGGCTGGGTTGTAGCTTAGTGGTAAAATGCTTGCCTAAGGCATACTATGTTCATCCCTGGCACCACATAAAAATAAACAAATAAAATAAATAAAGGTATTGTGTCCATCTACAACCAAAAAAGTATTTCATTCCTTTTTAATCAGCTTCCATCTTCCCAGCCCGATCATTCATTACCTACACTGACTATCCTTTCTGCCACCCCTCACCTGCCAAGATCATATGATCTTTAAAGATAATTATGCTTGTTCCTTTCAATATAAATACTTTTACTTCTGTTGCCAGAATGCCCTTGCTAGCACCCCCAGTGCGATGATGAATAAAAGTGGTGAGAGTGGATTCATTACCTTGTTCCTGGCCTTAGGACAAAAGAGTATATGCTTCCTTCACTAAGCATGATGTAGTGTTTTATATTTCCTTTATCTGTTTTAGTATGATCATTTCTGTTCCTACTTTGTAAAATTTTGTTAAACTTGTTTTCTGCATCTGGAGATGATCATGTGGTTTCACTAATTTTTTTTGACATGGTTTGTATTATAATTTATTTGAATATTAAACCAACCTAGCATTCCTGGAATGAATCCCATATTATTCACTTCATAAGTTGCTGGTCTATTGTATTTGTTGAAGGTTTTTGCATCAATATTTCCCTTGCCTGCCTTCACCTGATCCAGGTGAAGCAGTAGGGTACGACTGATGCATCTGCTGTCTCCCTGTGCAGGCATGAGTGGTTCTCCACCCTCACTAAGAAGCTCTTCCTCCACAGCCAGGAGGCAGCAGCACCACTGTAAGACTGGCTATTTTTTCTTGGCCCTTTTACTTCCTTAAATTTAGTATACAAGTTTAGGTTTTAAACATCCAGTAAACCAGTTTCACAAGTCTTAAGGTAGGAGTACTGGGTTTTAACTTTAATGTTTATAACTTTATAGTGATTTACCCTTTCATTTATCTGGGGGTCAGTAAAAGTACTAGAAGTTAGAATTACATTCTGTCTGTTCTGTAGGTAATGTCCTATCATCTCAAATTAACCCAGGTCGTTATATTAGAAATTGTACTTTTGCAAGGCACTAACAGATGATAGTTATAAAAAATACAAGGAAAATACAAAATAAAATTAACAAGAGTAAAAACATATTGAGTTTGTATAATAACTATGAACATAATAGCTAAAGGAAATATGGCTGCAGATGTAGCCCTGCAAAGCCTGCTTTACAGGGTTTTTCAATTACCACATTCCTATGGGAAAATTATTTTCTGTCTTCTGAACTCCCAATGGAAGAGGCTCAACAGGCTGTAGGGATACCAAGTAGAGCATAGAGAATGGTGGGTTTCTCCTAAGGACACCCTATTACTCCCTGAAGCATCCCAGTGGAAGATTCTAATGTTGATCACTTCTACTATTTGGGAAGAGATAACACTCTTACCTTAAAACAGAAAATATTTTCAGAAAAGGGCTTATTGGACACAGTCCAACAGATCATCCAAAGCCATAAAAGCTGCCTTATGTTTTTTGCCTTCCCTTGGGCTCTTACAGCCCTGGTGCTTATTCTTCTTTTTTGTCCTTACATTATCAGTTTGCTTATTCACTTTGTTTTCTTTCGTGTAAAGGCAATAAAATGGAGTCCCAATGGCCATCCCTCCAGACTTCTACCATGGATCGATCAACAGACCCACTGATATATGCCATCAGTGTTGGCCTCTGGATTGGCCTGCTGCTTCCCATTTGTCCTAGAACTTCCTCAGAAGGATATCCCTGTTACTCTGATGATGCCCCTTGTTGGCCTGAAGTAAGTAGTCACTGCCCCAACTTCCAACAGTAGCTGGGGTATCCTCTGAGACAGGGGATTAGGGTCAATGTAGAAGAGCTTAGGTAGCCAGGGCAAGGTGATGAGTGAGGAGGTCAAGGGCAGGGCCAGAACAAAGGAGCATGGAGAGGGTCTTCTAATGAGGTCAATTTCCTGTTTGACAAAAGGCTCCTGGACACAAGTGGGGGACCCAATCAAACAGACACTTCTATACTTGAGCTCCTAACTAGAGGACCCAATACAAAAACAACAGATGTGTGGGCAGAGGGGGGTACCAATCAATAATAGTAACAAGAATAAATGGGAAGAAAAATTAAAAAGAAATAAATTAAAAGGTACAAAGTTTCAGTTATGCTAGGTGAGTTCTGTGGTCTACTACTATATAGCATAATGCCTAGGGCAATATTTCATATTTAAAATGCACTGAATGAGTAGATCTTAGAGCCAGGCATGGTAGCGCAGTCCTGTAATCCCAATGGCTTGGGAGGCTGAGGGAGGAGGATCAGGAGTTCAAAATCAGCCTCAGCAACTATGAGGCACTAAGCAACTGAGAGAGACCCTGTCGCTAAATAAAATACAAAATAGGGCTGGGGATGTGGCTCAGTGGTCGAGTGCCCCTGAGTTCAATTCCCAGTAACCCCCCCGCCCGGCCCAAAAAAGTAGATCTTACAATGCGTTTTTTTTTTTTCACAAAAATGAAAAGGAAAAAGAAAAAAGCCATAAAGCTTGGAGGAGGAATTTACAGCCTTGATGGTGGTGATGGTTTCTTAGTGTATCTTACCCCAAATTCACTGAGTTGTAAACATTATGTACAAAAACAAATAAAATACAGGACTTGCTCTACTGCCTACCAGTGCCTTCAGTCCACGTAGAACTACACAAACTCAGCTGCCATCGCAGTGGTGGTCACCACCAACACGCCCGGCTGGATCCACCTGGGGAGAAGTAGAAGGCTACTTGCAGCGCTCATGGCCTAGGGCGAAATACCTGTCGCAGGATCGTTGCCTTTAATGCCATGACACACTTCAAGCTGGCCTTGGGCCTGGTGTCCCGGAGCAGAACCACAGAAGAGGTTTTGTTCCATGTGACTTGTGGAGGGAAGGCTCTCAGAGCCTGAAGAAAGCAAGGCACCACCTAAAGGGCGTTGCCAGAGGCCGGGGATTATCGGGGGCGGGACTCCGGGAGTTGCCAGAGGCGGGGACTGGGAACTCTGCCGGGTAGAGGGGGACTCGTGGGGCGTTACCAGGGGGTGGGGACTTGGAGGCGTTACCAGGGACCTCGAACTCGGGGGCGTTAGCCGAGGTTGTGGTGCTTGGGGGGGCGTTGCCAGGGGCGGGGACTCGCGGGGGCGTGACGGGGGGAACTCCAGGCGTTGCCAGAGGCGGGGACTGGGAGCTTTGCCGGATGGGCGGGGACTCGTGGGACGTTACCGGGGACCTCGGACTCGCGGGCGTTGGCGGAGGGTGTGGTGCTTGTGCGGGTGTTGCCAGGGGGCGGGGCTGGTGCGTTCCCAGGGACCGGGACCCGCTGGGACTAGGGAGGACGTTGCCAGAGGACAATGACTTGGGGCCCGGTGCTGAGGGCGGAGACCCGTGGGAAAAGCGGCCCCAGAACTCTCGGGAGCCCCGCCCCTTAGCGTATTTCCGGCGCGCGGGCGGAGGTGACGCCAAGCTGGGGCGACGCCTGTCAGTCAGGTCTGCCGGTTCCTGCTCAGAAGTCGCTAGCGGACCGGGAGCGGCGGTCGCTGGGCAAGACTTCGGTGGAGTCCCGCCCGTTCCCTAGCCCGAAGAGTGGACACGATGCGGTTGGGCTCCGGGGCCTTCGCTGCTAGCTGCGTAGCGATTGAAGTGCTTGGGGTCGCGATCTTCCTGCGGGGATTCTTCCCGGCTCCCGTTCGTTCCTCTTCCAGGACTGAGCACCGAGCAGAGCCCCCGGCGCCCGAGCCTGCTGCTGGTACGGATCCCTTCGCCAGTGTCCCCCGGCCCTGCTTCCTGCAGAGGACGCTCCCCCTGAGCCCGACGTTTTCCGGGGAGGGGCTTCTCTTCCCCTGTGGTCCCCAGCCGGAGAAACCACTTTTACCGCCTTGGTGCCTTTTTCAGTGACCTACAACTTTGGCACCCACTGCCACCGATCCTTCCGCCACTTTCCTTGGATTACCACAGTCAGCTCCGCGTACCCAGGCTCCATCCCTCTCTCTGCCCATCCAGAGAGACCCCCCCCAACTTTTCCGAATAGGTCACATTGCTGCTGATCCCTCACGTTTTCTGTTTTATCCCAAGCCCGGCCCCCCTTGTTTTTAGACCACGGTAGTTAAGGCCTTTCTGCATCAGGCCCCTTCCTGTCCCTCACCTACACAGCAGTACCCACTAGGTAAAAGCTCCCTGGTTCTGGACCAGGTCCACAGAATTCCAGCCACCGGCCATGTAAATGCAGTTTGCAAGGCCACCCATCGTTAGGTCAAGGTCAGTGTTCCTGAATGGGACACTCAGGGACTTTCATGTAAGGACTTCCCCTTCCCCAGTTATTCCTTGCTATACTAAGGGCAATCCACTGCTTATTATTGGGGCTCCCTGTGCTTACTCACTATCAACACCTTCTTCTCTCCAGCACTGCTTACCAAGAACAGCCCTTCTTTTGGGTTGCCATACACAGATAGGACAGGTTGTATGCTGGAGAAGCAGACAGAAGCAAGGTTTTGAAGGCGCTTAAATGGTAAGTTTAAATTGTAATTTCCCTTTTTTCTTTCAAACGCTTTTAGGAGCCCATTCCAACTGGACCAAGCTACCACCTCCTCTCTTCAATAAAGTTGTCATTGTGCTGATAGATGCCTTGAGAGATGATTTTGTGTTTGGGTCAAAGGGTGTGAAGTATATGCCCTACACAAGTTATCTTGTGGAAAAAGGAGCATCTCACAGTTTTGTGGCTGAAGCAAAGCCACCCACAGTGACTATGCCTCGAATCAAGGTAAGCTTGACTTGATTTTTTTATAAATCATGGTTTGGCTCTTTTGAAGGCTTACAGGATTCTGTAGTCCTCTGTTTGGAGTCCCAGTTTCCATTAAGTGAAAATTAGTTTGGTGCTGTCAGTTTTACTGGGGTGATAGAACATTAACGGTGCTTCACAGTCAGGGTGGAGCTGAGACCTGTGATTTGTGTCCCTTGTCAAGTAGCCAGAGCTCAGGCATCATGGGAAGTAAAAAGGATTTAAATCCAGATCAACCAGGCCAGCCCAAGAGACATCCTTCTCTGTAGCCTCCTCTCTTTAATCATCAGTGGGTTAGTTACAACCCTGCAAGGAGAGTTTTGAGTTGCCAAGTCTAATCTTGACTTTATGCATAAGAAAGCAAACTCAGATAATTATTTAACTTGCCCAAAATTGCAGAATACATAAGATCAAACTGTATCATCTGCCCTCACAATTCTACTACATAAACCCATTCAGCTTGGTAAGAGTGGTTTTCAAGTACCTAGTGCTTTACCCAAGAATCATGGATAAATAAAAACATAAAACTCAATTATTGATTGTCTCAGGAAATTTTTTTAATAATTATTTTTTAAGAGAGAGGGAGAGAGAGAGAGAGAATTTTAATATTTATTTTTTAGTTTTCGGCAGACACAACATCTTTGTTTGTATGTGGTGCTGAGGATCGAACCCGGGCCGCACGCATGCCAGGCGAGCATGCTACTGCTTGAGCCACATCCCCAGCCCAAGGAAATTTTATCTATAGATTATCATATGTTGATATTGTGATGGGGATACGTTGGGGGTGGGTTAGTATCTCTGCTTTCCTGGGGCTTTTAATCTCTGGAGAGATACACAGACATTCTATTCAACAAATAAGCATAAAATAAATGTGCAGTTATAAAGTGTTAAAGTGTGATGAGCACATGATGGAAAAGAATAGAATGTGATACCCAATGTGGGTGTGGGGCTTGTATGAGGAAATGACATTCAAACAGAGACTGGTAGAATGAGTATGGGAGTGGAGGCAGAAGAAACTGAGGCATTGAGTGTGGCTGTACTGCATGCTGTGTGGTATAAAATCTGTGTCTGATTGATAATGTGAGTTCGAAGACTGGATCAGAATGAGCTGCTACTTGATTTAAGACTTGGAGGCTGTATTTGTGGGTGTTCAGTAAATCTGTCCACTGGATGGAAAAAGAAAATGTTTGGGACTGAAGGCAGGTAAGTGCTGTATCATTCCATGACTCTGTCTGTGAGTCTCCCATGCTGTCTGCCACCTTGGGATGTTGTATGTCTTTCACTCAGTGATACTGAGCGGCTGCTACACACCTCATCATGTTCTAGACTAGAAGGATTCAGTGGAGAACAAGACAGCAACAGTCTCTGAAGCTTATACTCTAATGGGGAAGACAGAAAATATAAGTATGTGAAAGGAATTTAAAAGGGGGACAGTGATGGAGTGATGGGTGAGGGAGGGCATCTGCATCACCATGCTCAGGAGCAGTCTCCCAGAAGCTGCTCTTCTGTTCAAAGCAGAAAGTACTGTCAAAGCTAAAAGAAAGGTGTCAGGTTCCTGTTCACCAGGGACACTGATGTCTTTATTTCAGAGATTAAGCCCTGTCAGAACTGTGGAAGGAAACTTTTCTCCTTTATTGTTTTAATAAAAATGTTATTGAGACTCCAGTTTGAGAAAATGTGTAAGTACTCTGCAAGCTTTGGGTTCTGTCCAGACCAGCATGTTGGCTTCCCCTCAAATGAGCCCCATGAGTTGGTCCTGTGAGAAAGGTACTGTGCTCAGCTCCATTTCCAGAGGAGGGAGTAGAGACTCATGGAGGTAAAATCACAGCATCAGAACTGAGCATGGCCCTATTTGTCTGATTCTAGAGCCTCTGGTGTCCTACAACTGTACTGAAAAATAGAATGACAAAGTAAGTCCTCTTTAAAGCGTGTTTGCATAGCTTTCCCTAGTTCTGAGAAGTCAAGAGTCCACTCCTCCTAAAGCCACAGCAACACCATTAATGACAGATGGATGTCTCCTTCAGATTTCTTGGGGCTGCAACTGCAACCCAGCTGCCAGCTGCATTCTCCACAGCCAAGGGATGACCAAGTAGAACCAGCTGTCCTTAATCAGTGGGAACTTGGGCTGGGGATGTGGCTCAAGCGGTAGCGCGCTGGCCTAGCATGCTTGCGGCCCGGGTTCGATCCTCAGCACTACATACAAACGAAGATGTTGTGTCTGCCGAGAACTAAGAAAAAATAAATAAATGTTAAAATTAAAAAAAAAAAACAGTGGGAACTCAAACTAGAGTGAGACCAAGGAATGGCTTTGTAAAAGCCACAAAGGGAGGGCGAGAGGATTTGACTGTATGAAAGCAGGACACTTTTTATGTGGCAAAAAAGTTGTTAACAGATGATAAACTGAAAAAAATTATTTACAATAGACAAAACAAATAAGGTGGTTAGTCCATGATATGTAAGGTGGGATCAGATCCAGGATGGGTAATCCAGGGGAAACCTGGGAAGGACATAAAGAAACCCATGAGGGAAGAATGTGAAGTGGTCAGTAAACATAGAAAATTCTCAACCTTACTAGTAATCAGAGCAAGGCAAATTAAAAACAATCCATAACACCAGGTCTGTCTGTCACATTGTAAAAATTAAAAGATTGGTAGTGTCTGTTCCTCACAAGGAATGAGGTGAACACATGTTATGAGGTATTGTGGGTGTGGGTGGGTGTCCCTAGCTTGGGCCATCATTTCCTCTGTTAGCACTGTGGTCCATCTGTCATGGTTTCCAGCCAGGACAACAAACGTTTCCCCCCACCTCCTTCTGCCCATAGTATGGCTCAGTCAGATCACACTCCTGCCATTCTTAAAACCTTCTAGTGGCTTAGCCTCTGTCCTCTTTGAGCTCCAACTTTCAAGGCTCTGTGTGGTTTTGCTCCCTTTGTCCCCATTCGTATCAAGCTGCTCACCCCCTTCCATGCTTTTCCTTCATGTTGGCCACGCCTGACTCAGGTCCTTAAGTGCACTTTTCTTTTCTGCTCTGGGCCTTTGCAGTTTTCTGTTTTCCCCTAGAAAACTCTATATAACCTCTACAGTTCCTTAGCTCAAATGGCACTTCCACAGGAAATTGGAAAATAAATGTTCATTAAGATGGTCTTGGTTAAATATGTTGTGTATTCATACACTGGATCACTTTGAAACTGTTTAAATAAAGTGGTATATTTCCTGGGGAAAGAGGTTCATTATATGTTTCTAGAATTTAAGATTGTTTGCATATAGGAAAGAATCTGAAATGGCACTCACCTCAAGTCCCTGGTTGCCTATAAGAGTAGGATTTGGGGATGGAATTTGCATTCAGAGTTTAAATGAGCTGAGATGATTTTCATCCAGTGCCATACACATATTTTTGTATATACAGTATGATGAGATTTAGCAGATAACGTATATCCAGTCAACCCTACTTCATATCTGAATTCTGATCCCCATGCTGGGAGCAGTAGTGGTAGTTGTTGCTCTTATTCTGTACGAATTTATTTGAGCTAGTCTGTACAGGCTTTCTCCCCCAGAGTATGCAGCAAATGATGTCTCTGCTTAATTGTGGATAGGGTTTTGTTTGTTTTGTTATTTTTTATCATTTTTTTCCAAGCACATCATGCAGTATGGTGTCCATTGTAGGTTGGAACTCACGGGCACTGTTCAGTCAAGCCTGCTCTGTCACTGTTTTTCTAAGTAGGGCTCCCTGCTCAGGGAGAAGGAGCAGGTGACTGGGGTTCTTGCTACCACTCTGGATTCCCAGAAATATGTGGAGCTTAAAAATGTCAGCTATAACTGTCTCTTGCTCTAGATCCCCATTTTAAATGTCTGGCTGGCCTTTTGCTTGTGTCGTTGGCCTTCCCTGTTGTTTGCACAACTTCTTGGGCATGGGGCTTTTCTACAGTCACATTAGGTCAGGTTCTTCATGGTTGCCATGTCATAGAACTGGGAGGGGAGGAGGCAGGAGCAGCCCTATGAGAAACCACAGGTACAGTAGTTTTTCTTGAATACATGCTTCTCAGTTGGTTGTACAGTTCTGGTGAATTTCAAACTTCTTGAATGGTTGTTTTTGATATTTTTGCCTGTTTTCCATCACTCTTGGGGGAGAGTATTTGCTCAGCCCCCTGGCATTCCAGATGTCTGGTTAATTCACATTTCTCTTTGGCAAGAGGTGTAGTTCAGTAGTAGGGCTCTAGCCCAGCATGTGTGAAGCTCCCAGCTTGATCTCCATTGACTCACATGCACACACATTCACATCTATTTGCTATTGAAGAAGTCTTGGCAGAATTCCTACACTTGTTGGAATTGTCCATTTTCCTATTTTCTGTGGCACAGGTCCCTGGGTGATGATGTTAAGGGTGGTTGTGAGATCTATTACTGTGGCCTCAAGTTCTATGCTAAAAATGGGGGTGGTTGTTAACTCAATTCTGCATTATTAGAAAGATACAAGAATATGTCACACCCACCTTCTCCTTCCAGTAAACATGACACAACATTGGGGATGGTGGCCAAAGGGCCCTGCTCACTTTGAGAGCTCCTAGGAGTCATGAGTATAGGTGGCTTTCCTCCTGTTTGTCATTCAGAGATAGTTAGACTTGCTGGATTGTCCGAGTTTGGAGTGGAACTCAAGTTCGTGACTTAAGTACATACTTAGCCACATGAGGTGTTTCAGCTCACTAGCGCATGGCTTCTCTGGCCACTGCTGTTGTCTGACTCTTCCTAGCCTCTTCCTTTATTGTCTTATCAGGGAAGGAATTGCTCTGTGCCATGCTCTTTGTTTTAGTCAGGTCTGTATTATTGGGTTGGCTGGTTTTGAGCAGTATCTTTGTGCTTGCCCTGCTTCACACAGGTACTATCCTCACGTTGGCTCAGCCTCCAGTATTGGGCAGGCCCAGTTTCCTGTTTCACCTGTCAGGTTGTCAGGTAGTCTTTTGCCTCTGTTGCTGTGCCTTTGGATTCAGCAGTCTAACTGTAAAGTGTTTTCTCCCACAGGCATTGATGACAGGGAGCCTCCCTGGCTTTGTAGATGTCATCAGGAACCTCAATTCTCCTGCACTACTGGAAGACAGTGTGATCAGACAAGCAAAAGCAGCTGGGAAGAGAGTGATCTTTTATGGAGATGAAACATGGGTTAAGTTATTTCCAAAGCATTTTGTGGAATATGATGGAACAACCTCATTTTTTGTGTCAGATTATACAGAGGTCAGTTTTTAAAATAAGAGAAATATGCCATCCTAGATATAGCCTGGCACCATCATCATCTAGTGTTATTTTGAATGTGACATTTATTAATTTATGGAGTAGTGTGGGAAATTGCAACCATCATTCATCCATGTAATCAGTCACAACTGGGGACATGCACCCAGGTATGGGTGTGAGGAGAAGTCTGCGGAGCCCATGTACAGAGTAGCTGAACACCCACTGAGGATGGGGAAGGGCACCATAGAGGAGCTGTCAGGGCAGACTCTGATGAGTGAGTGGGGGCTTCCTGAGCAGGCAGAACAGGGAGGCAGCATCCAGTACAGCACAGATGTAGCACTCCACCACTGCCAGGGATCCTCTAGCTTTTTGGTTCTGCAGGTGGTCCTGAGGGGCACTGGCCTATGCTGGGGTGCAGACTCCAGCAAAGGAAGAGTAGGATTAGACTTATGTGCTAGAAGTTGGCTCCAGGAGCAGGAGCACCAGTATACCAGCATGTGTATCTTGGCAGCTGGGGTCAGATGGCCTCAGATTTCAGTGTGCCGCAGCTGGGGAGCATCTGTGGTCCTGCTCACACAGGTACCTTCTCCAAAGGTATGCCCTTTCCCATCTACCAGGGCAGGCACCACATTACTTACCAGCAATAATGCACTTCCCACAGTGTATGTGCCTGTGCACAGGAACACTTCTCTCTGCAGTAGATGTATTGGGGGAGGGAAAGGGCTAGCTGAGGGGTCAGGGCTGAGCAGGCTACCAGCAAGGTCAGGAGCTGCTCAGCTGCTAATCTCTCCATCATGTGTTTGTTTCAGAAACAAGAGCCCATAAGTGCTGTCTTTTTCCTTCCAAGAATAGCCTTCTCGTGGGACTGCTGGTTACTCTAACTCTGGGTACTGTCCTGTCTTAGCTGCCCTTTGCCCTTGTTACCCCATGGCAACTTGGGGACAATTTAACTTGCTCCTTTGGGTAGCTTTTAGTTAAGCCTAGCAGTGATCCCACAGAAAAATTTTTTGTCATATCAGCCCTTGCTCATTTAAATTATCTGTATGATATGTCCTGTCTACAACTTAGAGAAATAAAAACAATAGCAGTGAGACTTAATCTAATATTAATGTTCATTTACGTATTTTTAATGACATAAGGATTTTTGTTTTGTCTCGATCTGTGTTTTGTCTTTTCAGTTCCCATGAGTCCTGTGACCTAAAGTAAAATAAACCCCTAGATTTTAAAATGGCGGCTGCTTTTTCCCTGGCAGGGAAAATTGGGCAAGCCATTTACATGCACATTTCCCCTTCAAAGGTAGATGATAACGTCACAAGGCATTTGGATACAGTATTAAAAAGAGGAGATTGGGACATGCTAATCCTCCATTACCTGGGCCTGGACCACATTGGCCACATTTCTGGGCCCAACAGCCCCCTGATTGGGCGCAAGCTTAGTGAAATGGACAGCATCCTGATGAAGATTCACACCTCACTGCTGTCCAAGGTGAGACTTCTGGGGCTCATCGCATGGGGATGGGTTTAGCATTGCTGATCTTCAGAGAACAGACCTACTTAAGTGAGTGCCACACTCCTGGCTATGCTCAGTCTTCCCAGTAATCCTGAAAACCTTGCATTTCACTGTTCTTTGGCAGTGGAGCTCATATTCTGTCCAGGAGAGGCAAATAAGAAGGTAATAACCAAGAAACCAGTATGTTCAAAAGCAATTGGTGCCAAGGAGAACACAGGCAGCAGGAGCGGCACCCCTGTTCTGACGACCTGCCATAGTTTTAAATGGCCTTCTGTGAGGACCTGCATAGTGTGAGCAGAGAATTAAAGGGAGAGAGGGATGACACTTTGCCTGCAGGTGGGTGCCAGCCAGAGAAGCAGCAGAGGCCCAGCAGAGCCTGGCTGCCATAACAGGAGCAGTGAAGGCCCACGGAATCTCCTCACGTGGCTCAGAGCTCTCTCTGGGCGCTGGGGTATTATCCTCAAACAGTCCTGTAATACATCCACTGACAGATGAGGAAACTGGGAGTCTCATGCCTGGGGCTCACAGTCTGGAAAGTGGTAATGACAAATCCTTAGCTTGGGAGACCACAAACAGCCTTCCTGCACTCTCTGAGCTACACTTGGTCCAGTGTTTCTCCCATGCCATCACTTGACTTGGACCCTTCAGTCTGGCTCTAGGCTCATGGAAAAAGAAACCAGTTTGCTGAGGAGTGCCCATTGATGAAGGAGAGCTAAAATCTGCACTGCTCCTTGGCAGGATCACACATGCTCTGCAGTGTGATGGCAGCTGACCCGGTCCCCTTGCCTTTCAGGAGAGAGAGACTCTCTCACCCAGTTTGCTGGTTCTTTGTGGGGACCACGGCATGTCGGAGACGGGGAGTCATGGGGCCTCTTCCACAGAGGAAGTAAGCACACCTCTGATCCTAATCAGCTCTTCATTTGAAAGGAGACCCGGTGAGAACTTAGCAGCGTTTAACATTGTGAAACTGTCTGGTTTTAATTTTTAAAAACTAAACAGGTTTCAAATATCGTAAGCCATATGGAATAAGAATTAAGGGGAGAGGGGCAGTAAGGATTTGGAATTCACATCCCTTGCTGTAATTCTTAAAATACAAATACTCTGTATAGGAATTTTGTTGTTGGAATGTTACTGCCTGGGTATCTGGAATTATTAAAAGAACACTGCCAGCAGCCAAGTGCAGTGGCACACGCCTATAATCCCAGCAGCTGGAGAGGCTAAGACAGGAAGATTGCCAGTTCGAAGCCAGCTGCAGCAATGGTGAGGTGCTAAGCAACTCAGTGAGACCCTGTCTCTAAATGAAATACAAAAAATGACTGGGGATGTGGCTCAGTGGTTGAGTACCCCTCAACCCACAAAAAACCTGCCAGCAGCTTTTAGAAATTTGAACTGCATGTATGACTGAAGGAAATGTGAATACGTAAACTTTTAAAAATATATTTGCTGTGTAAAGCCACACATTGAACAACAGTGTCGGCCAGTTGGGGACACAGTCAGAGCAGGATTGGCTGAGGTCCATTTCTCAGTGTCTGATGTGACACCCTCTCTGACCCACAGTGCTATAAGCTCCTCAGGGCTACCCACCCTGCAATCCTGTCAGTCCCCATGGGTCTGGCCTGTGCCTCCACAACTTGACTGACACATTCACAGTGGATGCAGCAATTATTTATATTATGCAGCTGAGTCCAATGGATAGTTTCTAACTCTGGTCTCACCCACCCTGCAGTATCAGTCATGCTGGCTCCAAAGCTCCTGGAGCTGCCCATTTTTTCTGATTTTTCTCCCAGCTCTCTTTCTCAGTCCTTGTTGCTAGCTCAGCCTTGTTCCTGATCTTTTTTGCAGTCTGCTTTTTTGTGTTATTCTACCCTAGCTCCTAAGGGTGTGCTTGTCCACTTCTGCATCAGTGGTTGAAAATACCACAGATAGGCCACACCTGCCAGGTTTCCTCCTCTCTGACCTCCAAAACTGTATACACCCAGCTGCTCCCCTGCCCCTGAACTTGGATCTCATAGATAGAGCCAGTGTGGCAGCTTCACACCTGAACTGTCTCCCAAGTTTGTCCTTCCTTATCCCTGCCAGCAAATGTCACCACTATCCACTTGGGTCCCTCTTGCCCCACTTCTTCCTCACTCTCCACATTCCTTTCTATCAAAATTCCCTGTACATAAAACCTTTCAGTGGTTGAACTTAGGATAAGATCCCATAAAGCCTTCTTGCCAGCCCTACTGTTTAATCCTAGCCACTTTCCCCATTGCTTATGTACCCTACCTCTGCCCTCAGCAGGCACTCCCTCACCTGCCAACACCCTTGTCCTCACCCCTGTGGTCTCCTGCCCCTTGGTCCTAGTCTAAGTTACATCACCTGTCAGCTCTTTCACTGCACCCTGTGCTCCCTGCATCATTCTTCACCAGCTTTGTCATTATAGGCTTGTTTGTGGGATTCACAGCAATCTGCCTTCTCTTTCCACACTGAGCCAGAGGAGGGCAGGATCACTATATGCCAAGAGCCCCAGACATTGCCTGATGTGTGACAGGTGCCAAGAATTATTTGCTAAATGAATGAATCTTCAAACTAAGGGAGGAATGGTTGGGGAAGTGCTTCCACCTGCTTCTAGCTCTTCATAGCTTTCTCCTCTTGGGTGTCTGGCCCCTAAGATGTATCACTGGCTCTTATAACCCAGCCTTTCCCAGTGCCAGCTTAAAAGCCTGCCTCCTGGTTGGTGTACACACTGAGTCAGAGCACCCAGTTCTGGTGCCTGATTCCACATCCACACCCTGGGCAAGGTCATTGTGCATCTCTCATATCTGAAAGAGGGCCCTTTCCTTCATCCACTGTTTGGTCACTCAAAAGGGGTTTATTGAGCACCTCTGATAGCCAGCTGCTATGCTGGGCACCACTGGATTAACAAAAGGGAGCAGGCACAGCCTTTGCCATGGAGAAGGTGAAAAAGAGACTGTCAAGCTGGCATTCTTTATGTGGGAATGTTAGAGTCATTGTGTATCAGAATACCAACATTTCACCTCTAAGGCTTGTATTTAAGAATCAGTAAGGTTGGCGTTGTGGCTCAGTGGTAGTGTGCTCATCTAGCAAGCATGAGGCCCTGGGTTCAATCCTCAGCACCACATAAAAGCAAATAAAGGTATTGTGTCCATCTACAACTAAATATATATAAAGAATCAGTGGTAGCTGTCCATGAGTGCTATGGGTACAACGGGCTTGGGTCCTGATAGTGGCTGTGTCTGGCTTCCCAGCAGCAGGTGCTTCTTAACCCCCATTGGCCACATCTTGAGCCATATTACGTGCCCTATAGTATCTTCACAGAGATGGGCGAGTCATCACAGTCAATTTTAGGACATTTCCATCTTCTCAAAAAGAGGCCCCTTGTTTTTGGCCCCTGCCCTCCATTCCCCCCAGTGTGGGCAGTCCCTGCTTTGCTTTTGGTGTCTGTGGATGGGCCTCCTGAATGTGTCATATGCAGGGAAGCGGTCCCATTGTAGCCTCAGTGCTGCACTTAAGGTAATGCTTCTCCAGACTCATTGGTCTTAGTTCCTTTCTGTTGTGGAACCATATTCCATGGTGTGGACAGACCACATTCCCATTCACTGGTGAAGGGGCCCTTGGCTGCTTCTGCTTTGCTGCTGTGAACACTGTGTGCTGTGTTTGGGAGGGCATCAGTGTTTTCCTCCTGGACAGCTCTGCCCTCCCAGACATGCTGCATTTCTGTTTGCTGGCAGCTGGCAGTAGGATGGTATACATACAGTTTTATATCATTGCTTTTCTAATCAGTTCAGAGGAAGCAGAGGAAATGTGTTTCTGCACTATCTCTTAGGTCTACATGATCACCTCCACTGCTGTTCTTTCCTTTTTTTATTATTTATTTATTCTAATTTGTCATACAGGATGGCAGAATGCAATTCATTTCATATCACACATATAGAACACAATATTTCAAGTAACTGATTGTACACAAAGTATTTCGCACCATTTGTGTCTTCATACATGTACTTAGGGTAAGATGTCTAACTCATTCCACCATCATTCCTACCCCCTTGCCTCCTCCTTTCCCCTCCCTCCCCTTTGCCTTATCTAAAGTTCCTCCATTCCTCCCATGCTCCCCCTCCATTGCCATTATGAGTCAGCATCCTCATATCAAAGAAAACATTCCGCCTTTGGTTTTTTGGGATTGGTTTGCTTCACTTAGCTTTATATTCTCCAACTTTATCCATTTACTTGCAAATGCCATGATTTTATTCTCTTTTAATTCTGAGTAATGTCCATTGTATATAGGTACCAAAGTTTCTCTATCCATTCAGCTACTGAAAAGCATCTGGGTTGGTTCCACAATTTTTTAAAAAACAGTTTTTTAATTGTAGTTGGACACAGTATCTTTATGTTATTTATTTATTTTTATGTGGTACTGAGGATCGAACCCAGGTCCTTGCACGTGCTAGGCAAGCACTCTACCGCTGAGCCATAACCCTAGCCCTGGTTCCACAATTTAGCTATTATGAATTGTGCTGCTATAAACATTGATATGACTGTGTCCCTGTAATATGCTTTTAAGTCCTTTGAGTATAAGCCAAGGAATGGGATAGCTGGGTCAAATGGTGATTCCATTCCAAGTTTTCCAAGGACTCTCCATACTGCTTTCCAGATTGGCTGCACCAATTTGTAGTCCCGCCAGCAAAGTATGAGTGTGCCTTTTCCTCCACATTCTCGCCAACACTTATTGTTGTTTGTATTCTTGATAACTGACATTCTGACTGGAGTGAGATGAAATCTTAGAGTAGTTTTGATTTGCATTTCTCTAATTGCTAGAGATGTTGAACATTTTTTCATGTTTGTTGATTGATTGTATATCATCTTCTGAAAAGTGTCTTTTCAGTTCCTTGGCTCATTGATTGGGTTATTTGGTTTTTTGGTGTTAAGGTTTTTGGGTGCTTTTTATATCTTAAAGATTAGTGCTCTATTTGATGTGCTTGTGGTAAAGATTTTCTCCCATTCTGTAGGCTCTCTGTTCACCTCATTGATTGTTACTTTTGCTGAGAAGAAGCTTTTTAGTTTGAATCCATCTCATTTATTGATTCTTGGTTTTAATTATTGCGCCATAGGAGTCTTATTAAGGAAGTTGGAGCCTAATCCGACATGATGGAGATTTGGGCCTATTCTTTCTAATATTAGGCGCAAGGTCTCTGGTTTAATTCCTAGTTCCTTGATTCACTTTGAATTGAATACTGTGCATAGTGAGAGATAGAGGTTTTTTTGTTACATGTGGATTTCCAGTTTTCACAACACCATTTGTTGAAGAGGCTATCTTTTCTCCAATGTAAATTTTTGGCACTTTTTTTTTTGGCAGGGGCGGGGGTACCAGGGATTGAACTCAGGGCACTTGAGCCACATTCCCAGCCCTATTTTGTATTTTATTAGCGACAGGGTCTCACTGAGTTGCTTAGCACCTTGCTAAATTGCTGAGGCTGGCTTTGAACTTGCAATCCTTCTGCTTTAGCCTCCTGAGCCACTGGAATTATAGGCGTGCACCACCATGCCTGGCAGCATCTTTGTCTAATATAAGATAACTGTAGTTATGTGGGTTAGTCTCTGTGTCCTTTGTTCTGTACCATTGATCTATAGGACTATTTTTGTGCCAATACCATGCTGTTTTTGTTACTATTGCTCTGAAGTATAGTTTAAGGTCTGGAATAATAATGCCACCAGCTTCACTCTTGCTAAGGATTGCATTGGCTATTCTGGGTCTCTTATTTTTGCAGATGAATTTCATGATTGCTTTTTCTATTTCTGTGAGGAATATCATTGGGATTTTGATTGGGATTACATTGAATCTGATTTAGTGCTTTTGGTAGTATGGTCATTTTGACAATATTAATTCTGCCTATTGAATGTAGATCTTTCTATCTTATAAGGGCTTCTTTAACTT